GAAAAATCAAAATCAATTTTTTTTCCCACGTTTCTGGCAGGGATTTTGTTTTTTTGCCTTCTTCAGAAACATTGAATGTTGGCTGTAGCCAAGGCTGGGAATTTTGACTGGGGTACATCAGTGTTTCTGCTAGGACTAAAACCTGGAGGCTCCTGGTTAGAGGGTCTTGCCCCTTCCATCAGGGTCAGACCTGTTGCCACATTTGGGATTAGGAACAAATTATACCTTGTGGTCTGATGCATGTACGGTGGGGTTTTTTTTGCCTTCCTCTGTAGCCAGGGGCATGGCCATCCTCTTTGGATTTCTTGAGTGTCTTTTAAAAAACCTTGCTGCAGCTAGGCACTGACAGCCCTCATTCCCCAGTTTTAAATGTGGTAGGTTAGTGGCTTTGGCCAATATATCTTGTAGTTGTGTGAGATGGTTGTTTTATGTAGGTTTAAGAATAGGTTAGACAAGCATTTATATGAAATCGTTTAGATAGGGATGATCCTTCCTTGAGCTGGAGGTCACTTAGTCCACCCTCCCTGAGGTCCCTTCCAGCTTTTTTTTTCTATGATTCTATGAAATTATTCTGTTCTCTTCTTGTAAGCAACCCTGAGCCTTTGTTGGGAAGGGTGGCATATACATTGAGAGTGTGTCTACATGTGCATTTTACTGCAGTGAAGTATCAGCATCTACATGTGCCCCACAGTAGATTAATTTACTCCAGCATAGGATAGTCCCATCAGACATGGGTACTATCTGACAGCAGAGTAAATTACTGTGCTTAAACGCGTATGTAGACAGTGATGTTGGGATTAGTTTACTCTGGTTCAAATTATGCCAGTGTTTATTCAGTCACATGAATTGTATGTGTAGACATGCCCTGAAATAAATAAATAAATGCTTTGTCATCAAGGCAAAGCAGCATTGCTAGATCTAGATGACTGGCTGGTCAAAGGAAACTTGTTCCTTCATCTTTTTCTCATTTTAAGTCTAACAATAAAGCATAAAAGCTAATTTTAACACCAGCCTAGAATATACAATTTATCTGGGTAATTGCACTTTAGGACAGAACAAATCTACAGTAAAAGCTTTGTTATCTAGCACCCATGGGGAAGGGGGATGCTGGATAACAAAATATGCTGGTTAATTGAGAGGCCTGAACAGGTGCCTTTGCCTGTTCTGGCCGCCGCCTCTTCCGCCACATCCAGGGTGTCGCTGCCCCTCCCGTGGTATCGCCGACCCTCCCGCGGGCCCTGAGGAACAGGGAGGTGGGCCCTGTGCAGCCTGTTATGCCCTGGGCCATAGGGGCTCAGCAGCGGAGGCTGCTTTGCCCCAGGCCATGGGGGCTCAGAGAAACTGGAAGTGCCACAGTCGGTACTACCGATTTCACTTTACCTTACAAGCCAGCATGCTGGTTAATAGAACATGCTGGCTTGTAAGGTCCTGGTTAATGGAGCTTTTGCTGTACTTATCTTTTGAAAGCTTATAATCAGGTCCACTCTGATCAATCCATTTCATCTTGTTGAAATAGATTTATCCGGGACTCTAACTTGACTAAAGAAAAGAGTGAAGAAAAAAAATTGAAAAAGATGCTGATGCTGTATGTTTAAGAATATTCTAAGATAAGAAAAACCCTTCTGCTTTATTATGACTTTTACAGTTCTTTGGGAACAAATGTTTCTTTCTTTCCTAAAAATCAGCAAGGTGATAACAGTTCTCAAAACAAAATATGTTGCTGAGCAAGCAACTTTTATGTGTAACAACCGAATAATCTACCTTTTCCTTGACACTCAAGGTTGCTTTGTTTTAATCATGTCTGTTTTCACAGTTTGAGGTATAAAAAGGTATCTTAACTTGTAGAGAGGAGGAGTTCTGTTTAGAATCCTCCCTGCAATTGTTTGTATAAGTGCCAATAAACTCAGACTGGGTCTGTGAATTCTAATACCAAACACAATGCGAAGTTTGATTTCTTCCACAATCTGAATCCCTGACCTATGATAAGACTTTATCTTTGTCTTGTGGGTCTACTTGAAATCTTGCACTTATATGAAATTCTACTGAAAGCTCCACCTGTGGATGCAAGCATGGTTAAAAAAAGCTTACACCATAAGTGAGCACAGTCTAGATAAGTGGTTCTCAACTTTTTTAGACTCAAGACACTCCACATTAGCCCATTGTCTTGGTTGCTCTGTTTTGAGGAATTGTTATGTTCTAGTTGCTCCTCCACCTCTTGTAAATATTCTGTAGGGCAGCAGTCCTTAACCTGTTTATACTGTAGACATCACTTCAGAAAATACTAGCTCTTTGCTCTCATTTGCTTTTTTTACTACAGAAAATAAATAGAGCGATTCTTCTGTTGCAAAGAACTCAGAAAGAATGGTTTTGATATCATGGATTCTTATTTAAAACTAACAAATTGCCCATCAAGAATGATGGGGGGGTGCAGAGCACCACCATCTATCACCCAGTGCCACCACCCCACCCCCACTCTGTGCCTCGTCCCTCCCCCTCCAACTCCACATCTGGCCTTGCACCTCCCAGGGAAGGGGGGGAAGCTTGCTCGCCATCACTCACCACCCTGCATTGCTGCTGCTCCATGTGCAGCCCCACTTTGTCCCTGTAGCAGCGGCAGTGTGGGGCAATGGGTTGTGGTGACAAGCGGTTGTGTGCAAGCTTTCCCAGATGTGGGGGAAGCTTGCATGAGGTGGCCACTGCTGCCACCCACCACCCTGCACTGCTGCTGCTATGGAGACGAAGCAGAGCTGGACATAAGGGAGTCGGAGGGCAAGCTTGCACGTGGCCGCTGCCGCCACCACCCTGTGCTGCCGCCGCTCTGCATCCTGCCCTGCTTTGTTCACAGAGTGGCAGCAGCATGGGGTGGGGGGAAGCTTGCATGCATCAACTGCTGCCATGCACTGCCCTGCACCACCGCCTCCCAGGAGCAAGGGGAGCAAGCTTGCT